CAAATTGAATTCCAAAGTCGTTCTGCTATATTGGTTAACTAACAGTCGATACTTGCGACAGGCCATACTGTACAGACTGTTACTATGCACGGGAAAAAGAGCATGTTGGAAAGAAAAAAAAAAAACATTTTAAGAGAACAGACACGAATTCTCGATTCAAAGTTGTAATTTCTCTGTGAAAGAAAATGGAACTCGTACATATAGGATAGTTCTTGTTCATTTTAGTTAATTGAAACTGTAATAGGAATGCTTTCAAGTCTATTGTTTCATGTATTCAGGCGTTCTCAAGTTTTAGATCATATACATTGGATATTTTTGGAAGAGAAATAATATTTGAAAAAGATTACTTTTTGAATATGATGAGTATTTTTAACTTTAATTAATAGTTTCGATATTTTTTTAATTTGTATATATTGTGAAGTAATAATTTTCTATAATGGTTTTGTATACCGTTATGAAAAATTTTTTTAATTCTATAAATAGTCTCCAATACTTCAATAACATTTTAAAAAAAGAAAAATAAGAATGATTAAAAATTAAACAATTATTTTGCTTTATTATATTTTTATCATTATATGATGTAACATCATAATTATGATATTTAATAGATTAATACTATTAATTAAAACAAATAGGTATTGCTCTATACAATTTTAAGGCGCTTATATGCAAGTATCGGAGACTTTAATCCAATAATGACCTATATTTCTCAAATTCAGATAAAATGATATTAAATTTCTACAAATATAATCTACATATTAATACTCATATCAATATTTTATCCATTTAGTTTTGTTACTAGATATATTATCTAGTAAAAAGAAGATAGATGTTTGTGCTTTTAATGTAGAGATTTATTTTTAAGTTTGATACAAATTTTTTTTTTTGATATTAATAAAAGTACGTGATTCATTTATAACTAAAAACAGGAAAAATATATTTACTATTTTTCTCAAATAGTACTATCGTTTGCGAAATTAAGCAATAAAATTTTCCTTTTATTTTGTTACGGAATATTAAAGATCTCTCAGGCGATTTATAAAATAGCTTTCTTTTTTAGATATAGCACAAACATAGATTTTCAAAAATACTTTTCAAAAAAGAGAACCGTTTCCATTTTCTTTTGTCGAAGCAAAGTCTTCGACACGCGTTTTGAAGTTCTTTTGAAATTCTAGTTGAAGGAGTCTCGAGTTGTCAAGATCCTTTTCTCAGTTTCGCTAAATGTTCTCGACATCGTCAAGGAGATTATATCGTCAAGTACGATAGGGTAGTATTGAGTATCAAATAGTTTAGACTTTAGCGTTTAACTGACTTCAAATAGGAGTAGTGTTATAGATTTTTTTTTCTTTTTGTAAATCGATTTAGGAAAACGAACAATGTGAAAATTTTCCATTCACAGGTTCATTCTCTTTTCTCATTTTATCAAAATATCCAATTCTTGTGAGTATTTCGATATTTTTTCGATGAAATTTAATTAGTTTTCGATTTTAAAATTATTTCAAGGGAAGAGCAAATAATCTATTAAACAATATCTTTGCATTTAATTTATTAACATTTATAGAGAAATTATAAAAGATGGAAAGATTTCTTTGTGAAGAAAATTTTAGGATAATTCAAAGACAAATAAAAGCATCTAATAATATCTTAAAGATTTTTAATATATTAAAATAGAATTGAATATTTTTATAAAAAGTTGCAAAAGGGAATAAATAAGATTTTTAATTATGATATATTTTCTTCTGTATCGATACAATTATGAACTCTTCTTCAAAAAAATAATTCTGATTAAGGAAAGTAAAGTGTTGTTGCTTTTTCTTCTAATAGTTTAGCTCAATTTGAATTATTCTATATGCAGGATGTTAATATATATTCATTATTCTTAATCCTAATCTTTAGAAAATTAATTCCAATAGTTCTTAGATTTATTTATAAAGCTGAAAGAGATAAAGGTATAAACAAATAAGCCTCAATTAACATTTCTGCATACAAATTTTCACAATTGTTTTTGTATATTTTATAAAATTCTTCTCTGTTTCAACGAAAATTTTCATCCACTCATTTCCTCCCCCTATCATTCAACCATTCAAAACGAATTAATTAAAATCCATCCCCTTGAATTTGAATGAACCGAGTTTCGCTTACAAAACTTTCAAGGAATTGATGTGACATCGTGTAGGGCAACAAAATATCTGAATAATTTAACGCATTTCTAAGATTTTATACGCAAGAGGCAAGGGATATTCAGTTCACCTAGTAAACTTCTCGTTGCTCGCTGACGAGTGCACGGGAAATTTGAAATCTTAGCATTGAAAAGGGTTAAAAGCGTGCTTAACCCTTTTCGGAGGACATAAAGTTGGAAAAGGCATTGACGTATGAAGCTGTAACCCGTTGCGTGGAACATATATATAGCCTATCCTAAACGTGTTTACAATGCATCAGTTTTATGATCGAAGTTGCATTACCCAAGACCATTTCCCTTAATGAACGTTGCACGCTTTTATCACACGCCATTTGTCAAATCGCACTTTTACCCGCCCGAGTTTTCGCCTCTCTCTCTTTCTCTCTCTCTTTTTCGCGCGAACCCACCCACCCGGGCAATTTGTTTTCATTTCTCCTTCCAACAATTCTCCCTCCACCCCCTCCACGGCCCACTTTCACATGCAGCCCACAACGAATCCTTTCGAACGAGTGCAATCCTTTCTGGACGATCGATCTTCGCCCACCTCGTTTCTTCCTTGTTTCGCCCAAGGAAGCGTTTCCGCCCGGGATTTATGATACGCATCGGTGTAAATTTCGGTTAAATCGGGATGGATGAAGATAGATAAGGCCCTGATATCGCCGATTATCGAAAGGGAGTGTATAGGGATATGGACGAATTAATCGATATGTTTTAAGCGATAGGCTTTATTAAACTCCAATTTATCACTCTTAGAGTTTTTCTTTAAATTTCGATCAAGATTTCGATGATTTCATTCGCTTCCACCGTTTGTTGTACAAAATTGTTGAGAATGGATAATTTATGATTAAAAAGACTAGCGTCGAAAATGATTAGTAATCCTTTCTTAAATTCTCTTTAAATCCCTTTCCAAGCTTCAGTCTGTAGATTTGAAGGGGTAGATTATGCGCGTCTGGAACAAGATTCGATCGATTCATCGGTGATGGGGCCAAGTACTTAGCTGTAACGAGAGTTTCATAACGCTTTGACCGGGTACAATTTCATGTATTATCGATATACCATTAGACTCGTATCAACTATAATACTCTATCTCTCTCTAAAAATATTTCAAATCGTCACAATTTCTATTAGAACGCTTGACTCTTCTAATACTCTTTTAATCGGATGGAACGATATAAATGGACGCGCGCGCGGGAAATTAAGGAATTGTTCCCGTCGATTCGTCAAAGGGGACAGAAATAAGGCGGAGCAGGGAGCGTGGAAATCTCGACTGGCGGATACAATTTTCTGGGGATCGCGAAATTTCGTTTCGTCGGATGGAAGCGGTTCGAATAATTCCGCGCAGCTAGTGCGCCAGCAGTTTGGTGTCAGCCAGAAAATAGACGAGAGAGCGTGTAATATTATTGCACCGTGGCAAATCACAACGACGCGAAGAGCGACGACGTATCGTTATTCCGGATAGCGATCTGACGCAATGCAGCTGTGCAGTGTGTGTGTGTGTGTGTGTGCGATACGTGCACGTATACACAATACGGCGCATTGTTTTGAGATTTTCCACTTTTCCTTCCCACATTTTCGACTTTACCTCTGCCTTTATCCACCACGTATACTACGCTGATTTCTCTTTCATATATACCCGATGTTCTTATCGTTATCCACGATACTTTTTCCCTTCCTACTTTTTGCCGATTTTATTTCGAAAGCTCGCGCGTGCCCCATCGATTTCACTCGTATTTTTATATTCCATCCGCGAATTTATTTGACGCTCCCTCGTACGATTGCTGAAATTATTGTTTCCCCTATGCGTTTCGAACTTTCCACTGCTTTTGGCGAACAACTCGTTCGAACCAGCTTTTTGAAATTAGACTCGTAGATCAATTTCCTGTTAATTTTAACTCGTTATATTGATATTAATTAGTCTCCAATTGAAATATTATAATCAAAGTTGTAAAAAAAATAAATTTAATCAACTATTCACTTCTACAACAACAATTTTCTTTTTTGGAAGATTATTTAATTATCCATCAAATTTTATATTCTTTTATAGATAAAAAATATACGATATATCAATCTCTTTCCTTCCTACTCTCTCTTAGGACCAAATCAATTTTTAATTGACATCTTCCTTTACAGTAACGTAAAAAAAGAAATTATCCAATATTATCATTATCATTTTGACGTCCCTTGTTAGAATAAAAACCAATCCAAAGAATACATCCGGATTAAGTATACAACCATTAAGACAATTTGCATCTTGTTATACCGTCGCTATTGTTCGCTTCATTGTTCCGCAAATCTTCGTTTTCGGCCGCGTAATCACTCATTGAACCAATCCTATGGGCAATTGGGGCCAGTTTGGGGGGGGTAATAGGCCCGTAAGACGAGGGCCGTGCGCATTCCGCGTGTATTGTACGCGCCTCCCGTGTTACATTTCAATCCCGTACCCACCGAATTGCTACTCGCAAACAACGCGCTGTTTCTGCATACATGCATCGCGGTTAATTACGCGCCGTTGCACAAGTGTGCGCATCCGTGTCCGTGTTCGTAACACGCCCCCGTGTAATACGTGTACACGTGGAACGAGAAGTTGGAGGGGTGCGTGTCGTCGCGTTATCGAGACTCTATTAATTGGATTCGAGTAATTTGATTACATAAGACGTCTGAATACCCACAAATTCAAGCTTCTTTCCCTCGCGCGAGCGAGAGAAATGGAATGAGAAGAACAGGTTGTCGCGCGCGCGATTTTTTGAAATCTAATTTCAAATTAGATGCTTGCTTCTCCAAGAAGTTTTCTGTCTTTTAGCAACTTGAAAATGCAACTTACCCTCGCCGATTTGCGCTTCATGCTCTCCACGCATGGAAATCCACCGCACTGAAAAAAGAAAAATGGATGTTAGTGCGATTCGAAGGGATGTAGGGGAGGAACGATCGAATAGATATTATAAAATGTTGTTTTAAAAATAAATATTCTTGCATCAGATGAATTTATATAAGCGAAAGTGTAACTTTTTTAAATATCAAAAGTGAAAATATTAAATATCAAAACAGAAATATTGATTTAAATGTTTAACCTTTTAATTAATTAAACGAAGAAGAAGAATTTACTATTGTCAAAAATTGCGTTGAAACCTGCAATTTTATAGTCTGATCTTGAGAATGATAATATAGATATAAATTCATTTGATTATAATGACTATTCCTTTTCCATTTTGGTTTAAAAAGAAAAGAATTATAAGTTTTTAGCATAAAAGCTTATTGTTATGAATAATAATTATTTTGATTTTTATTATCATAAATAATTTATTTTCTTTTATTTTTGTATAAACAACCATCAGCTCTGCTTTAAAACGTATAAATATAAAATATTCAGGATTACTTTGTAAATTTTGACATTGATTAATTTTGTATACAACTGTTTTTCATCGCAAAATAATAATTGTACAATCAAAATAACTCGACCGTTATATCTTGTCTCGCAAAAGAATTCCAAGATAGTTCCTCTCTAAGAGGAAAGAGTCCAAAGAATTTTTCATGTCAATGCCCCAACCATATTTTGTATTGCGCTATAGCTATTACCCGGCAAAGATATACGATCCCATGAAAAAAGATTATCCGATCTTCCACGCTTCGCATCTTGAGATAGAAGGAGGGATAACTTCAAAGAGCTTACAATGCGATTTTGGCGAATCCTTTTCCACCTTAACCGTTTTCGTTCTTCCATGTTATCATCGTGTACACGTCTTTCACGTCATATCTGGTGTACGTGATAATATAAATCGTATTCTTTGAAGCTAAATCATCGTGTGGTGAAAGTATTAAGAGATCATTGATTAATTATTAGTTTAGGTATTATGGTGTAATAATTTTATAAAAACTCAATTTTATTTTTCTTCGTATAAATGTTTTTCTTTTCTTACATTCTTTCGTTAATTTTTATCAATAACAGATTTTTTAATATTACAAATTATTAAATTAGGATTTTAGCATACGAATTAATATCTCTTTCCTTTTTTAGAAACCTAAAATTGATTTTATTTTATTATTTTAATAATGTAATAATATTTTCTTCTGATATATCATTATATCAATTCTCGGTTATTAATTACTCGATTCACAATAAGATTGGATGATGTAAATTATATTTCTACACATTGATTAAGGAATTTTTATTTATATTCTGACAAAATTTCTTTATCAGAAATTGCACTTTTCTATATTTTAAAATTCCAAATCGATAAATTTCGACATAGCCATATTTTATTTTTAAAAAGTTGTGCTTGTTTTCAAAAATTTAATAATTCACGCCAATAATAACGTTATAAAAATGTTATCAAAATACGTTATCGTTGTTTGGAATTTTATCATTCGGTAAATTATTTATTTCATCGGGAACGCGTTGTTATATATCTTGTACAGGATAGCCACGATCGAAGCGTGTCTGTAATCCATAAATTCTTTTTATAATACATCCATTACAAAAGTACTACTTGGATTATCCCTACCCCTATAACGTTCCACGTTATGGAAGGCAAGTCACGTCACAAAGACGAGCTTTAGCTGCTGTAAACTAGTCCAATGTTGAGCTTATCAAAAGTTGTATATCTTATATCACAAAGATGTACAATAGACCACAGACATTTTTAAAAAGCACATTCAAGTAAGGTATAATAACCGTGGTCCCAAAATTCGAAATATGTCGATTTTAACAGCAATTTTAATTTTATACTCGATATATATCTCATGTCTCGATATATTATATAACTGAAAATGAATTATAAAAAGCCTTATATATAGAGTGCATCGTAAATCAGAACATCGATTTTTATAATGCAATATATATATAAGAATTTTCATAATTTTTGAAACTTTAATTCTATATTTGAGCGATATTAATATAATTTCTTAAATAAATAAATAATTAAATAATAAATATATAAAAAATAATAAATTTCTTAAATAAATAAATAATTTCTAAATAAATATATAATTTAATTAAATAATTATATTATTAATTATTATTATATTATTATATT